AACCCCTGAATAGTGATTCATCCGGTGGATAAAGCAATCCATCGTTTTAACAACCGGGGCTTGGTATAAAACCTCAGTAGACTGGCCTTTGGAAAAAAAGACAAGTGCATGCGGTAGATGCTTTCTTAGGGTGTTTTCCTTTCGGTGAATCCAAAAACGGAATTTAGATCTTAAAACGGATTTCGCGTTCCTTTCGGCAAATCGAAATCCGGATTTTTGATCTGGTGAATCCTTTTTGAAAAAGGATTCATTGGATTTGAAATCCAAAGAATCCGAATCCAGATTAACGGATTAGTGATCTACGCTGTTCCATTCACAGTGGATCCGAAATTTGTCAGATGATCCCACAGCGGTATTTCCAGTTAGAGTATTCCCGTAGAGTTTCCTAGTTGCTGCCATTTGTCGCAAAACATCTGAAAACACTGAAGATTTTTCCCGGTACAGTAAAATATCCATTTCCTAACCATTTGTTGCTAAAGATTGCTTAAAAACACAAATGAGTAAAAGGGATAAATGAACTGCCATCTTTCTCCAAACTCACTTGTAGACACGATAGGCACTAGCTCGTGTTACATTAAATCCGAGCTACGAAACTGGATCAAACTAAGCCAACAACCTTAAGATAATTTTCAACTTTAACGCGCTTCTTTCTTGATCTGTTTATGTTCCAAGTCCCTATTCGAACTGCCGACCGCAAATTTTTGCACGGTATAATCGCATAATTTATCAAACAGAAAACACGTTAGAGAGGACGAGAGGCTGTCGTGCATATTGCACTCGTTTGCGAAAGGTTACCAAGTTCTATTTCGGATACTTAATGAAAGGTTGCTACTGATCTGATAGTGACTCCAAATAACTTACGATGTGCTACGTACAACTTCAAGGATATTGCCATCTACCACCACGGTTGGTTTAAACCCTACTTTGTTCTAAGCGAAAGATATAGTACGTAATTCCCTAAAATTGTCACTGTTAAACGGAAACTTACTTTCCCTGGACCAGTTCTCTACGCAGTTCACTTTTTCTTGAACATTGGTAGCTTGCCAATCAGTCAATCAATCAATCAATTAATCAATCTTTATTCCTCCTAACATAAAAAGACATTCAAGTTACATCAGCAGTTGGAAGTCTAAATTTACATAAGACATACTGTATACAAATAACAGAAAGATTAGCCTGCGAGCAAGCTCTCCTATTTGAGCGAGTGAAGTGAGTCTCGCGAGAACGCGCGAGCGAGCGGCAAAGCCGCGAGGGGCAGGGGAAAGGAGAGCTCTCTCCTTTCCTCGGCCCCTCGCTCGCGAGTTCTCGCGAGGCTCACTTCGCTTGCCCAAATAGGAGAGCTTGCTCGCAGGCTACAGAAAGATCAAAGATTATACCTAAAAATAAACCTGTTTACATAAACATTCTTAAATCTATCGGTCTTTATCTCCGCGAGCGATGAGCACTTTTGTTTCTGAGTTAATACTTTGTTTCTTTCTTCTTCGGAATGATGTTAGTAAGCGGGCAATCGGGATCCACTGAACGTACCTTGAAAAGCTTCTTATCTGCCTTTCCTAGAAGTTCTCGAATGTCCATTCTCTTAGATGTGTATTTCCTTTTAAAGTTTCTATTTGGTATGACCGTGAGATCTGAGTCTACAGCCGGCGCCATAAACAGACAGACCATAAGTGAAATTCGGTAAAACTAAAGCGCTAAATAGGTGGTCCACTTCACCTTAACTGAAAGCTTCCTTCCGTAAAGATCATGATTAACGCTGTCGAACGCTTTACTGAAATCCAAGATGAACGGTGGGGACCCCGGCCAAGGGCTGGCAGGGGACCAACAGGTGACTGTTTCAAGAAGGTTTCCGAAATAAGGGAATTGGTGATTCGTGTGACGATGAACATGCCAACCCTTGATGACGAGGTTGTTATTCCAACCGCAAGAGCCTGAGCCACCTCTCAAAGTGATTCAGACAACTAAAACACTGCAGGGGTAGGAAATTGCTGAACCTAATCCTCCAATTACCGAGAACATAAAAAAGAAAAGCCAAAAATTGTCTGTGAACGAGCTTGCGCAAAAGCCGATCGACATCATTAGACACCCAGTTATGGCTATGATTCTAAATCCGAAAACGTTTAATCAGGCGAGTTGCCAATGATCCAAAAATATGGGAGAGTGCAATGTAGAGTGAACCAATCCAAGCTGAAAAATCAGAATAGAAGTAAAATTAGTGCCCTGATTACTTCAATAGCTTTAGGTGAATCTCATGGATTGAACATCGTTTGTTTACGTTTGCAAAGACTGTCTTGTGGCAGTACAAAACACATAACGTTACATTTCCATAGAGCACCCTCCCCTGTTACACAATTCACTCTATTTTTTCTCTCCCTCCCATCCCTAACTTTTTACGTGCCTCTTCCCCCGAGCTGCGCGAGGTTCTGCGACACACCTACTTCTAGTGTGTGCTTTACATACATACATACTTTATTGGCTTTCCTCATGGAGGCTTTTCAAAGACAATAATTCAATTAATTACATACAACTAAAAAGATAAAAATTTACCACAATAAAAAACCTACTTCAAGGACGCTTAAAATATTTACAATAATATTTGTCAGGAGTATAATGTATTGATTAAATGAAAAACTTGTACTTAAAAACTGTAATAAAAATATTCACACTAAAATTTAAATGACATGATAAAAACTCACGAATCTATAAAATCCTTGACCAGTTTACGTATCAGATTGAACTTCAAGGCAGATACTGATTCAAAACATTTAAGATGGCTATCCATGGAGTTCCAGATACTGACTATTCTATAATAAAACGTCTGACCACTAGCAGACTTAAAAAGTGGAATGTTCAGCATCTGCGAACTTCTCGTGGCACGTCCGCTTATTTCTCCTCGCTTAATGAACTGGGAGAAAAGGTACTCCAGCACGCGGGATAGCGAGAAGTAAGGCATTTAAAGGCCATGATAGCGTTAATAAAGTATAACTGAGTTGCTACTGGTAGCCATTTAAGCTCTTTTAAAATTGGTGTAATGTGATCATATTTGCGCGTACTGTCGCAATTCGAGCAGCAAAGTTCTGTAAAAACAGTTTGAAAAACTAGTTCTTTTCAGTAACATCAAGTGGTCTGAAATAAGAAAACAAGTAGACCAACGTTAAAAAGTGCATATTTAGGGTTTATACTTTATGTGGGAGTGCCATGGATGCATTTAACTCATTTATATAAACTTTTTATTATAAAGCACTAAAAATTTGAATGTCCTGCTTTAAAATATAATTAAGTAAAATGTTATACCGCAGAATTCCGAAAATAAGCCCCTCCATGTATAAGCCCCTCCAAATATAAGCCCCCCAAACCCGAGCGCAAAAAACCCTCCGTTAAATCGCCCCTCCAAATATAAGCCCCCCAAGGGCTTGTACCTGGAAAATTGCCCTCTAATACAAAGTAAAACAAAGCAAAAACAATAAATTTACTTCCAACAATAAGGCTAGCCAAACCGATTTTGAAACGCAAATTTCCGTCCGTAGTTAAGCCCCTCCGAATATAAGCCCCTCAAAAAGGGCCTTTGAAACATATAAGCCCCGGGGCTTATTTTCGGAATAATTACGGTATTTTTAAAAGAGTCATGTTCTAATTATTTAATCTGCTGCTTTTGTAGCTCTGTTTCTCAACTGCATAGTTAAACCATTTTAGTATCAGTTTAACTATAGTACGGTTTCTCTTTCTTGAACGAAGAATTCCAAAAACTTGTGTTGCTCTTCATGCTCTTCTTCAACTAAATTCTCTTTCTTCAAAAACCTGTTAAGGAATGCAACAGTTGATCCGAAAACCATTATTCCCCCAGCAGTGTAAAAGGCAGGTCCGTACTCGTGGGCGGTGTCAGCTATGAAACCTGTCGGAGAGTTTCGAAATGTTAGAGACCTTTAGATTCCAGAAAGAGGACGATTACGAGTACGAGATTTGACTTCGCCTATTCTGAAAATATGGACTCTCTGGAAAGCTTCATTTGACCATTTTTCACTGGAAAACTTAGCACTGTTACCTTAAGTGGAGGAGGTTACACCCTCTCCCGATCGCAAATTGATAAAACTTCTAACATTTGACAACTTGTTTCCGCCACTACGACATTCTCGCTAAAACTCGTAGTACAGTGACGACGGCTATCACGTTTTCCCGCCAGAATGACGCTGGCTCACGCGCTTACACTACGTAGTATTGAGAAAATCTCGCACTCGTTGTCATACTCGTCTTATAATCTAAAGCTCTCTATTAGTTTCAGAACCTGTTTTTTTTTTGTGCTTATAGTTATGTCAATGTTGCTAATAGAGAACGTGCTTTACGTAAGAACAGTCCAGGCCTCCCGTAAGCAACCTTCAAAATGCAAAGACTGAGTGGTCGCTTACGGGAGGTGGTCATTTACAAAAATCGAACCACAAGGAGTCTCCTCTGAGAAGAGGTCCAGGCACATCTGCTTTATGAAAGATAATTTATTGCATGCAATGTCTAAGTTAGGATATGTGTTGTTCCATGTTATCGCTAAGGTTCTTCGATATTCTAAGTACCATAGTGCACACAGCGCAAATAGAGATAAGAGAAAGTGTCAAGTGGTCGCTTAAAAAAGGTTAAAACCTGGAAAATCATTAATCGTCAGGCCCAAAAAGAGGTCGCGGTGTTCAAAAGTGTTTGGAATCTAAGCCGCGTCGGCATAAGAAGACAAATCTTGTAGTTGTGTAAAGAAATTGTATTCAAACCCTGTCCTCATATATTAGCTATCGGTTGCTGCCGTTGTTGGATAGTGAAAACCTTACGGAAAGAAGGTCTGTCCTTGCACGTGTGGACGCAGTTACAAGGTGAGTTTTGCCTATTAGTAAACTCTTGAACGAAATATAACTTACCTATAAAAACTGGACCTATGACACTAGAAAGACCGATAAAAAGAGTAAGATAGCCCCAAGCTTGGTCAATTCTCTTCTGTCCGACACATGTCAACACTATCAGTGGCATTAAGCCGTATCGTCCACCATCCATGAGACGAGACCAAACATAACAGATAACACCACCACAAATTTGTAAGATGTTGCCACGGGTAACAGAAACAAGCAGACGCCGAGACATGTCGTTGAAAATTGATAAAGATCAAAGATGTTGATGAATTTGAATTCACTTAGCTTGCAGAACAAGTGGTTGCCAAAGAAGTAAGAGATCGCCATGTAGGTGTATAGCATGGAGCCTCGTTCTGACGAAATGCCAAGTTCACTTTCACAAAATTTCAACTACAAGGGCAAAAACAACCAAATATTTCAGTAACTGGCGATTATATACCACTTACTAACCAAGAGTGAGGTCGTTACAGGCCGAAATCTCAGATATTGACCTAGCAATAGTGGTCAATATAGTCAATGTACGTTAGGGCTTGGCTTATTCCCACTCCTTCCAACCCTAAGCGCCAAACTTCTCTGGTAACAAAAATGTTTTCTAACTTAAGTAGCCTTAACGTTTCAGTTTTATAAAAATTTTTCAGCCGTGATGTAAGGGTAAAAGGGTTAGAGAATATTAGGGCAATTATTACAAATCTTACAGGGATATGACGCCGGCAATTATCTCTTACTCCTCGAGTAAGTATTCCTTGAGTTCCTGCAGTCCCCTTTATATTGCGGGGTGGGAACCAAGAACCATATTCTAGGTGATTGTGTTATTTGTATAAAAAATATTCAATAAAGTTAAATCACATTTCACTAGGAAAATTGACAGCGTAAACACGACAAAGAACACCGGAGTAACGGAGACAAGATAGATGATGAAATGTCCATTTCTTAAAAGGCTTGGTGCAGGAATGACCTCGACATTTTTTTCGGATCCTTCTTCAATTCTTTTGACGTTACCTGCGGTAACATCCGATTTTGCGTCGTAAGAGAACGCCAGTGGGGTTGCCAAGAAAAACAAGATGGCCCACCCTCTAAGAGCATTTTTAAATCCATAATTTGAAATGAGAACCTCTGTGAGTTGTGTCACGACGAACATGCCTACACTTGATGACGAGGCTGTTATTCCAACCGCAAGAGAACGCCACTTCACAAAGTGCCTCAGAACAACTAGAACACTGCAGTGGTAGGACATTGCTGAACCCAGTCCTCCAGTTACAGAGAATAAAACCAGGAAAAACCAAAAATTGTCCACAAACGAGCTTACACAAAAGCTGATCGAGATTATAAGACAGCCACCAATGGCTGTGATTCTAAATCCGAAACGTTTTATCAGGCGGGTTACCAATGGTCCAAAAATCCACGGGAGTGACATGTAGAGTGAACCGATCCAAGCTAAAAAATATCAAAACAGAAGTAACGTCAATAATCAGAGCTCTGATTACTTCAACGATGTTAAACAGCCAGTAAAAGGCTTGCTAAGAACGAGCTTGCGCAAAATTTGCACCAGGTTATAAGTCACCCACTAAATCCGAAACGTTGTATTAGGCTGGTTAATTATCAAATGGTCCAAAAATCCTGGCGAGTGGTTAGTGCCTTAAAGACTGTGGAGAATGAACTGTTTAATGGGTTAGTTGCGCCCTGTTTTACGATAAAGCTGACCTCATTCGTGAGACTAACATGGTCACTGTGGTTTGACTCACTGGCGTAGATCTCGTTAAGACTACATGTTCTAGATTCCGAACGTTTACTAAAATTTCTATGGAAAAACTCACCGTTTTTCTACGATCTGGCCAGCCGTTTTTATACAATTTCTACATTATTTCCACTGCACACTAGCCTACTCGGTCAGTATCGCTGGGTAGTTCGTTAAGAGGTAAAATACTTCTAGGGGATTAACATGAGTCTTTCTGTTTAAAAAAAGAGTGGAAAAAAGTAAGAAATGCTGTCAGGCATGAAGTCCTAGCGGAATCCGTACCTGTGAGTCAAGTAACTTCAAATGCTCCTTAACCTCACGAAAATTAAAGACCTAGTTCATACGTCGTGCTTCTGCTGTGCCGGCCTTAATTCTTATTTCGGAGCGTCCGCGCACTCACAGCGAAGCCCCATAGCTAAAGCAAATGAAAACCTATCTCATTTGCTATTCCAAAGTACAACAATTACAACGATTACAATTATTAACACAAAGCATACATGCACAAACTTACTACACACCTAAGCACACGTGCAATTCCACAATTACACACAAGGTAATGCCTACTGTTATTTACAAGTGCTATTCAAAAAAGAAGAAACTAATCATTTTTTCAAAAGAAGAAAAACTACCTAGATTACCAAGTCTATTTGTCCATTAATTTTTGTAAATTCTTATTCTTAGTGAAAATATATTTTTCTATTTCATATTTACCGTTTATTCTAACTATAAAACTGTTTATGGTTGGGAGTAGTTCATTCCTTCTGCAACTCCATAAATATTTTCCCTATAAGTATAGGATAATTAAGCAAGGGGCATTCAGAAGATAAAAAGCCGATCCAAATTTCCTTTAATGTTGAACTAGTTGTATTCGCAACCCAAAATAATATGATCCAACACATTTCCAGAATGAATTCGAATAAGGGCAATCCCAAAAGAAATGTCTAATAGTTTCTGATTCCCTTTTGCAAAAAGAGCACAAGTTGTCTGTCCTGTACCCAATCTTGAACAACTTTGAGTTGGTAAAAAGTATAGAATTAAGTATTTTAAATTGAAAGGCTTTGACATAAGGTTCAAACGCGATAGAATGGGGCAAGAGAAATGCATTTCTGAGATCGTCATTAGATAGATTAAAATCCAACTTCAGTTTTTGTGCATAATTTGGGAGACAAGCCTTCTTTTGAAATAAAATTTAAAAAAAAAAATGAAAACCTATCGATGCTAGAAAGTTTTGTTATCAAGTTAGTACTTCCCCTGGGGTAGGGGTAAATAAATTCAGTAGGGTAGGAAAGGGAGTCCCAACCATTTACGTTGTGTTTCGATTTGGCGCAAAATTAACCATTTTAGGGGCAACTGATTTTCGAGTACCTAGGAGTTTCAATTTGAAAGTAAGTGCTGACGTCAGGTCTGGAAGACAATACGGAGAATACAGTTTGAAAATAAATAAAGTAAAGAAAATGAAAATGACCCCTGGGAATTAGGGTGGGTAAGCCGTTTTAAAAGAAAACTATGTTATTTCCGTGTATTTTTTATGTATAAAAGGCGGAAGCCCATCGAGTAGAGCCAGGGTGCTTTCTCTTACCCTCGTCTCATTCAAGTTCCCGGATGTACAATCACTCTGTAGGCAGACCAGCATAGACCTTGTCTTCACACCAGAAAACACACGGGGTCAAAGTTCATCTGCAATGTTGCTCTCGCCTAATTCATTTGACTCCCAATAGCCTGTTCCCGAGGCCAAAGACTTAGCCGTCATCTTAGAAAAGCGAACAATATCGTATCTTTCTGTCTCAGCCCGGATCAGGGTGATTGATCCGTTTAACCAAATGAAACGGGAATACAATACGATATTAGACAATGCAGACTCTGCGAATCGTAATAACTTTGTCCCATCTCAGAGCTTTACATGATGCTTTCCGGGAAACTTCAATTTCTCAAGGTGACCAATAACGAAATGTTAACTGCTAAACGGCACCGAAGACAGCTTTAGCCTCGCACTGATTTCAAATAACTGTCACTTGTGTTGAATAGAGAATTGTGCGTGGGATCGAGAAAAAAAAAACAGAGCGGCGAGGGAGTGAAGGGGTTGGGGTGGGGGTTGCGGGAGATAGAAATTCTCCAAATTCTTTCTACAGCCACTTCTAGACAAATCGCTAACCACAAAATGAACAAAAAAAGACATCAGCAAACAACTCAGTAAAGAAGCTATTAGGCAAGGGAAGTTAAGAGAAATTAGAAAATGTTTGCTAGCCCGGTTTTCATATTAGGTAGATATATAATTCTCAGTAAAATTTGACGACTTTGTGACTTTGCGTTAATCACTTTCAACCTTAACATCCCTTTTTAAGGCGTTCTTTTTAGCTGTGTGGACGCATTTTTTTTCTGGTCCTAGTCAAAATTTGAAAAAACCGTGGATATAGGGTCTATTCTGCTCGACAAAAGCACGGCAGAAGCGCGACGTCTGAATCAAAGTTTTGAATTTGGTTCGGGCAGAGCAATCAAGTTCGACAACGTCTGCCGCGCTACACGATTCTGGCACCTGACTGATTCAAACGTTGAGCTTAAGATGACCTAATTTCTAGTAAATTTTGAGACTGAAGCTGTTTTCGAAAATGTATAAATATGATCCAAACGTCTGAATTAAAGTCGCCCTTCTGTTGAACCCAATTACAATAAGAATAGCAAGGCAGAAGCACAAATCATAAACGTATTGGGCCTTGGTGGCCAGCATCATTTAAAACCACTGATCCTTCCAATATTTTTAAATCTATTTAAGACTAGACTTTTCTAGGCGTTTAGATAGAGGAGAGAGCATGAAAAATAGAGCGAACGAAAAAAGGAGAGGGAATATTGTAGAAAGAGGCGAAGGCATGTCTGGCATAATTTATTACCGTTTGTAGACACAGCGAATATATTTATGAATAATATTGAAATTGAACTCCTTGAATTATTAGGCTAAATTATTTGACTTAGAACTTTAAAAAAATAAAAATACACAGGAACCGGAAATAGTAAGAGTTTTGGCTACACTGTACATACGGGATGTTTGCATAACTGCATTTTGGCGCGAAAAGATTTCCCTTCACTCGAACTCTGTGGTCAATATGGCGGACAATTCTAGCTTTATCTGTTCAAATCATGCAATTGTAGTTCTGCTCCGTTACATTTGCCCAATTAACTCACTTAACTATAAACAAACTTATCTAACTTATCTATAAACAAACTATGTTTAGTGAAAACGGCTTACTCTAAATCGATGTGGCATGGGTAATATTGGCCTTCCAGTTTCTAAAAAATTTGTGTACCTTTTAAGTACCGTAAAAGTGCTGTGAGAAGTTATAGCCGTTCGTAGCTCAGGCTAAACCATTTTCGGATAAAAGTAGGTAAATGAAAGGAGGAAGGATAATTCTTTACAACTGTATGAGTCACTATTACGTTATGTTAATGATAAAGCTAGAATTAATTATCGTAAACGTCCTTCAGTTCACTAACATGGCGGCCCCTCGAGGCCTCGTCAAAACTGTCATTCCTGTATCTTTGAAACCAAAGAGAATTCGAACCTTAGAATAAGCATTCAGTATTTAGGAAACCATTCTAAGACTACATGCCAAAAATCAGCCAAATCGACGAGGTACCGTGTCAGGCCGAAGTTCGAATTTTACAGAAAACAAAGTTTGCAGCCCTGTCAATCTCTTGAATTATCCTAGAGTCACCCTTATAATTCACATTGTCCGCCATATTTGACCAGAGAGTTCGAGTGGAGGGAAATCTTTTCGCGCCAAAATGCAGTTATGCAAACATCCCGTATATAAAGTGTAGCGAAACTTTGGTTTTTCGAATTCGAATATGTGACGTGACTTTAAGTTCAAATTAAAGGTTTCATTTGGAATTTTGAGGAAGATTATGGTTGCATTGTTCACGATTAAGTAGCTTATTAGAGTGGAGAAGGTGAATTGAAGTTCAAATCATGCGTGAATTTGCATTTTAGTTGGAATGGTGATTTGAACTTCAACATCCGCGATGTCGAGTTTTCCCTTTATAGTTTCAACTTGTTCAAAGTAACTTCAAGTTCGAATGATGCTATTTCGACTGCGTTCACTGCGATTTCAAATTCATATGACGAGATTTCGACATGGATTGTCTAATTTTTGAACTTCAAATTGTATTTTATTTTCAATTATTTTTGTCCGCAAATGTACGCCATATAGAACGGTGTGTAGTAGTAGCGTAGTTGGCTTTAAGAACAAGCCAATGTTTATTGCACACACTGGTTAACGNAATTCGAACCTTAGAATAAGCATTCAGTATTTAGGAAACCATTCTAAGACTACATGCCAAAAATCAGCCAAATCGACGAGGTACCGTGTCAGGCCGAAGTTCGAATTTTACAGAAAACAAAGTTTGCAGCCCTGTCAATCTCTTGAATTATCCTAGAGTCACCCTTATAATTCACATTGTCCGCCATATTTGACCAGAGAGTTCGAGTGGAGGGAAATCTTTTCGCGCCAAAATGCAGTTATGCAAACATCCCGTATATAAAGTGTAGCGAAACTTTGGTTTTTCGAATTCGAATATGTGACGTGACTTTAAGTTCAAATTAAAGGTTTCATTTGGAATTTTGAGGAAGATTATGGTTGCATTGTTCACGATTAAGTAGCTTATTAGAGTGGAGAAGGTGAATTGAAGTTCAAATCATGCGTGAATTTGCATTTTAGTTGGAATGGTGATTTGAACTTCAACATCCGCGATGTCGAGTTTTCCCTTTATAGTTTCAACTTGTTCAAAGTAACTTCAAGTTCGAATGATGCTATTTCGACTGCGTTCACTGCGATTTCAAATTCATATGACGAGATTTCGACATGGATTGTCTAATTTTTGAACTTCAAATTGTATTTTATTTTCAATTATTTTTGTCCGCAAATGTACGCCATATAGAACGGTGTGTAGTAGTAGCGTAGTTGGCTTTAAGAACAAGCCAATGTTTATTGCACACACTGGTTAACGGCTTCCTTTTCTCCTTTACAGTTATAACAATTAGCGCGTTCTTAGTGCTTGTAGAATGGAAATTGTTTCGCGTGGTTTGCTTGAAGCGAGGAATATTCATGAACCACCTATTGGATTAACCTTCGCTCGCGTTACAAGTATTATTTGTGGAATAGAAATCAAGTTGTTTGTAGTGGGTGGCTTTTAATATAATTACATAGTGAGCCGGAATAATCAAATAAATCAGTGTTTTTCGCTCCTTAATTAAGTTTACTGCGTTTACTGCTCAGAACCTGTAGCCAGTTGTAACAAACGCTTACCAGTTATCGCAATGGGCTGCCTGAAATGTTTCAGCAGAGATGGAAAAAACAGTCCAAAGCTATAGTAGCTGCCATTATGGAACGTCAGAGATATAAAAGCGGCAAAACAAATAAACCAAGACCAGGGGCTATCCATTCTTCTCCTCGAATCAGCCATTTTACAGTCAAAGCAGGTCAAGCGTACCCCTCAAGATTCTATTAATGAATTGATAATCTGAAAAATAAATCCGTTTAATAGTGGTTCCCGTATCTTTTGTCAAATTAATTCAAATCGCAATTTCTGCATGCGTAATGAGCAGTGAATATCTAACGAGAACTTCTCTGTATTAGGTCAGATTGAAAATCTTTGAATGGATTATATTTCTTAGAAGACATTTGCATCAAATTCACGGAAACTGAGTTGGTAGAAATGTCGTAACTGCCTCGCGTGTTAATTCACGGCTCATTACGCATGGAAGAATGCAGAGATGAATCTGAAATCTACAACTACCAACGGATTCAACTTTCAAGCCTGTGAACAGGCTCTCTGTTTCACCCTTTCCCCAAACAGAGAGCCTGTTCACAGGCTATCAGCTTTCGAATAACAAATTCATTAATGGGAGCTTGTGGGGTACGCTTGACCTGGCTTGACTATAATATTGACAGTCATCTGCTGAGACGTTCTTAGGTCGCGACGCGATTATTGACAACCAAAAGGGTAGCAACATTCAATATTTCCAAATCTATAATTCACAGGTCTACATTCATGAGGGCCTCCCAGGGGTTTTAGGGAACAAGGGAACATCGCCATTTACTTTTAGGGAACAAGGGATATTTCAAAATAACTTTTAGGGAACAAGGGAACTGTTGAGGGATATTCGGGAACAAGGGAACATTGACTTTCGACCATTTTCTAACTTTTGGAGAGATTTCCATTAACTGTTTATGAAGACATTTCCGACGTTTCTGTCATTTCACGCATTTCCGACGACTAAGCCTGGCGACTAATCTTCACAAGTGAACTGGTGACGACTGGGGACGAGTTTAGAACGCGTGGGAACCTTGGGAGAGACTCCGTCGGGTGGACCGCCATTTTTATGGTAATTTTCTCTTTGGTGTTCCATGTCTAGAAACGCTAACCATTTATTAATAAATGGCAACGGAAACAGAAGGAATTCAAGCTCAATCTGCGACAACGGTAATTGTACCGGTTACCGGTTCAATTTATCACAATGGAAATGAAAAGCCCACAGAAAGATGGTGTTTTGAACTCGGTATGAGGACTGTTTCAGATAAAGATTTTACGTCAGTTTTAAGCCGCTTGCAGAAAGGATTTGGCATCAAGGAGAAATGTGCAATGCTAAAAATCGTTAAGTTCAAAATTCAGCTGTCTTCAAAAGACTTTCGGCCAAAACTACCTGAGTGGCCTAAAGGACGAATTTTTCAAATTGACACGCAAGAACAGTGGGAGACTGCTTTACCACAGATTATTAGTCATCAAAGGGAGATGATAGGTAAGTCATGCTCTGATTTTTCAATGCTACACTTATGAGCGTACATAAAAATATCTCCAAGTGAGACTTTCTTGACTTTATTCATACTACTGTACAGGTTAACCTGATTTCTCAGACAACCATCCAATAAGATGAATGAGAA